GGCAAGGAGGGGATGGGTATACTTGGGAATAGCTTTGTTTTTGGTTGGTTTGATTCCTATATGGAGATATGTGTTGGGGATCAATATAGAAGGTGCGATTCTAGCCTAGTCGATTAATATATAGTCTCACCTTATATCATAATAATAAGGACACCCTTCTTCACATCTACAATCTGAGCCCTTCACCGGTATACGCTCTCATTTAAGTGGCTCTATTTACTAAAGAAAACTTAATATAATGACTAGGGGATGGTGGGGGGGTCTAAAGTTGACGAATGAGTGATCTCTAAATTCTTAGGGAATAGAAAGATGAGGAGAATGCAACTCTAAGATATACTACTACTCTATAAAGGGAATAGCTTATCAAATAGATCTAGCTTGAAAGGGGTAAAGCCTGAAACTCTTCTACCCTTTGAGCTACTTCCATGCCAGGAGTGTTGGTGTTATTGTATTATCTGAAGGCTGATCTTGACATCTTGTACTGTGTTTTCAAGTTTTCTTCAAGTGACAAATGTTATTTTATTGCACAGTGGCAATACAGCTGACAAAGACTGCAGATTCCAACACATTCATGATGCAATAGATTCTCTGAACTAATTTATTTTTAATGAGGGGAGTCCATTTTCAGGATCAAGTCAAGAAGCAGACTTCCAAAACATTCGCTTGGCAGGGAAGGGACTTGAGTTTTCAGTGTACAAAGTGATACACTGAAACATATGTTGACTTTATTTGATTCTACAAGAGTGGCTTTTTATAGTCTATGTTGAAATCAAATAATCACTCCATATATTCAACACAGAATATGACACCAAAGACAAAACAAAAGTTTCATTGCCTTGGTTATTCACCCCTTGACCTTTCGAGTCACAAAAGCACTCAACCCAGTAAACCTTTATGTTTTTGGCCTGGAATCTTACTGCTTTTACTCTAATTTTTTCGACAATGGCCACCTCAACTGAGATGAAGAAAGTCTCGTTTTCAATTTCCAAGCAAGTTGTTGAGTTCGATAAAAACACAGCTCCATACAACATATCCAGTACTTGCGTACGCACCACAAAGACACTGAACATTTCAACACCCAGAAAACGTAAGAAAAAGCGCAAACGCAAACCCATTCTCTTCAAGATCCTTGGAATATTGGTCTACAGAAAAAATGTGATACCAAGCCGCCATCAATTATGGACATCTCGCACCATCAGACTCAAACTCGAAGTCATAGAAAGATGCCAGCATAATTTGACTGAAATCACGACAGAGATTCAAGCAATTCTCAGTACCCACGAAGCACTAGCACCAGATCGGAGAAATAAGATTTGGGAAGATCAACGTCTCGAATATCGTCATCTGCTGGCTGAAATGCGCGCAGAGGCTTCGGGGTGGGCTACGTGTGCGCGTCGAAAGCGGAGTGATTCGATAGATGTGGTTGATTATCTGGTTTATGTGTTGAGGAGTTTTCCATTCTCGTGGTTTGTGGATGTGTTGTGAGTTTTCTGCTTGCGTGATAAAATATTAGTGGCAATTTTTAATCTTTGTTTTAGTGATCCGAAGGTTCAGAGTGGAGCAAATGTCAATGCGGATGATACTGCAGATGGGAGATCCGAAGAATGTCTTCCTCTGCCAGCAGCGTTCTCCAAAATTCGCGCTACACATATTGAGTGACGGGCGTGAACATTGTACCGTTTCCGCTTATTGGCTCATCTTGGCCTATCTTGGCTATTGAGTTAAGACGAGATACGGAGCAATGTCTGAAAGTATCATATGTAATGAGAGTCTGATGTAAAGCATGATATGGAGCCATCGAGATCTTCCGACGAGGTGGAATGCGGCGGTACAGCTTGATGTTAAGTGACACTTGAATGAAGAGGGCTGGATGTCCAAAGTCTGGGTATTTAGCAGGATGATACATTCGGGATATAAGAGTACTTGAAGTTTAGAATGTAATGGGGTAATCAAATGACTTGCTACATTCACTGGTGCTGATATCATAGTGATGTTTTTGTTATTGAAATAGTTGATATCGCATAAAGTCTCAATCTTCCATTCTCATTCCTTTTCCGTTTGATTAAACCTATTCTCATGAATATCAAACCTTGATCAAGCATGATATGGATTTTTCAGTCATCCTGATGGTCATGGTATCCTTCTATGTATGGACGTTTAAGTGCTGATGATAGTCACGCCGAGGACTTGACTATACCCAGAACACCCAAACACAATATTCCAAAGAAAAATTTCTGATCGCCAAAAGTTGAAATTTGGTCTGAATTCAAACTCTACAGAGTCACAACAATATATACAATACATATTGCTCTATACGAGTCAACATAACGTCTCATACAATGCCGCTTAAGGTCAATAACCTGGAGAACACGGATTTCACCAATCCATGGGTTTCGGAGATACCCTCCAATCTAAAAAACTACTCAAAAAGAAGATAGCATATCTTTATTAACAAAGTATTTCTAATCTTTATATTAGGAAACAAAGCAAATACTAATATCAACAACCCAGTAATAAAGACCTTCAAGATCAAACTTGTTGAGTACAAATATATTAAAAGAATTCAACAAAAGGTCATAATCAGCCTGGTAGATACAATTGACAGATACATCGATTTCTTTGTCACAGAAAACAAACAAACTGTAATCAGAAAACTGAGTATTAGAGTTATAGAAATCCTTATACTCTTTATCAACAACGGATCCGATTTATCGTTGAGTCTATTGTATATACTATTGGTAACAAGAAGTATAGTTTCTTTGAAGATATATATCACTATCAAAATCTACACAGAGATCCTCAAAACCCTTAAAACAAATCAAAACGGAATAGGCCGAGAGGACTCACCCATACCTCAAAAGACCTTATCAAAGACCTCATCCAACAACACACACACTAAACAATAAGCGATACAAACTGCCCAGAGCACAGACCATAAACTACTAATAGCTATCAGCCCCGCAGCCCGGATCAGTAGACCAGCCTTATACATATTAAAAAGCATTCTCATTAGGATAATCACAGGCCTGATATTTGCGGATATCTCCATTATATCTATCACTAAGATAGGATAGGTTATTATATCAAAAAACCTAGCAATCTAAGAACTATTTCTTATACAAAAGAATAAAGAGATTATTCTCAGAATCAGCCAAAATATGTAAATACACTAATCGGTAATATAATTCAATTATACAATCCCTGGTATCCCAATATCGATCTACACGATAACAGGACTCCCAGCCGATACAGCAAACCATATAGAAACAGAGATTCAGGCACAGACAAGCCAAACCCCAGTCAGCTGTAAACCCTCACATTACAGGGCTAGCCCCTACAATAATACAATTACATGGGTAATATCCTTCCTGGAACTAATCCGCAATTTCAGACTCTTTAATGCTAGCAAACTAGTATAAGAGATCAAGGCAAAACCTACAATAACTCGACACAACACCAACTGCCAAAGCTAGTACAACCTAACAAGATGTACTAGACTTACCTATTGTATAAACTATAAGATTTGAAAAGATACATACAAAAGTCTACAAAAACCTAACTGTATAGCAAAAGCATAATATACAAATTGCTTCGGACCCTTTGTGGCAGGATACCAGAACTGTTTAGCAATGCTTAAAATAGTAGATAATAAAGTTATAACATCTATCAAATCATAACTCAAGACTATACAAAAACTGGCTCTGGTAATAGAAATAACAACACTCACTAACCAGAAGTCAAAGAATAACCTCAAGGAAGGGTCTACCTCAGATATAACTACATCTACACCCACATTTACCCCAATAACAAAACATTGGGGAGAACAGATCACTATTTACAAAATAAGCAGGATCAGTTTAATTATAATACAACTCAAAAAAGGTATAACAACAATAAGCTAATTGAAATAGAAACCTTTGATAAATATAAACCTTAACAAAAAGATCCTAGCCAATAACCAACAAAACATTGAAATAAAAGAAAACCCCCAACCCAATACATATAAATAAACACCAGACATATCAAGATAACATACATAATCATCAATAGCTAGAATACAGAATTTAACAATCTGTTAGGCAAATATGGGCAGAATACCAGAGACCTATAATACCCTACTACAAATAACATTTGAAAACAAATCAGATATTCTATATATACAGGAACCCTCTATATTCCCATTTACAAAAACCAAAACACACCCTAAATAAACCCTATATATATTAATGGACTTATAGATAGAAACATTCCCTGAACAAAAAGAAGCAGAATAACCCCAAGTACTGATATATGTCAAAAAAGAAGTGAAATTGCGAACCTAACAAAGGCAATCAATCAAAAGCTGTGATATACTCTGGATAAATATAAACGGGTATTCTATACTGAATATGTATCAACAATCACAAACAGAACAGATATTATTGTATATCATCGAACTATAATCACCCCCAGGGTACCTCATTAAAAATAATTTCAATACTATACATAAAACATGGTAATCTAGATCAGAAAACCTTTACAAAAAGAATGAGTTATCAATCTAGACAGATCTGGTTGAATTAGAATATATTGGAGAAAAAAAAACATCTATCTATACAGAAGGCAATGTACTTAACCTTTTATTCTCTAATATATTCTTTGTAGAAACCAGGGTCTGGTATAACCTACACAATGGCTCGGACTACCATACCCTAGTAATAATAATACCTGGCAGAGGAATCAAATCTCTAAATCAATACAACATCTATATCCCGGAAACAGAATTACCACGATTAGCGGGGCTAGTAACGAATGGAGTAATATACTTGCTTACAAATGATATCCTCAATACTCCAGAAAAGATAGATAACTTCACTAATCAATTTATACAAATTATCAAGCAAACAATAATTGCAGCAGAAACTATAGATAGAGAAAAAAACAAGGCAGCATCCTGGTGGATAGCAGAATATAAAAAAACCTACACTGAACATCTGAACAAATAAGCTGTATCAGGGAACTCCTTTATTACAACAACAAAGGAATTCAAAACGGCAGTCTGAACGATTAAACACAATTACTGGAGATATATTATAGATAACATCTCCAGTGATAAAAACCTATACAAAATAGTAGACTAATATAAGCTAGCCCCAAATCTCAAAAGCCCTCTAATCACTTCAAATGGAATGGTGATAGAAAATATAATGGAAAAAGCCAAAATACTCAGGACTGAGATCCTGGATCACTTTAGCATAGAGGATGATCTGGAATACAATCTACTGGGAGACTAATAGGAAGAAAGCGGGCATTTACCCTGGAACTCCTGATTCACATTGGAAAAAGTCAAAACAAGTATTATTGGAGTATCCAGCATATCCCCAGGAACTGACCAAGTCATGGTCAGAATCCTCAAAGCCTACTAAAACCACCTCAAAGACTTATTAAGACAGTTCTATCAGAAATGCTTTGAACACAATTATTTCCCGAAAACCTGGAAATTAGCTGAAATGATTATATTACCCAAAATCAGGAAAAAGGATGACATCCGCAAGATCATAAAAACCCATTACCCTGCTCTCATATATAAGAAAAGGCCTGGAAAGAATAATCACCAAACAATTAGGCTGGACAACCCTGAAACACAATATCATTAGTCTCCAATATAACAAAACCCTACCCAAATGCTCTGCAATGGATCTAATAATATCTTTCATATACAATATAGAAATAGTATTAGTAGTTGGGAAGAAAGTGACTATGGTTACTATAGATATACAAGGCACCTTCGACACATTGCTTAAAAAACAACTCTTTACTAGAATAACAAAACAAAACTGGTCCAAGGACCTATTTCTATTAGTTAACTTCTTTTTAACAAAAAGGAAAGTCAGAGTATAGCTAAAGTAAGCTACAATCAGAGAATATCTAGTAATCTATGGAATATTGCAAGGTTTTCTTTTATTACTAGTTTTGTATATACTATATCTAGCAAAACTATTTTCAGAAGATACCTTTTTCAGATTCGGGTATATAAATAATATATATCTATATAGAATATCCAAAACCCTGGAAAAAAACATTAGATGTTTTATTACGGATATACAAAACATTATAAAGTGGAGATTAAATAATTGTATTGTCTTTGCCCTAAAGAAACTGAAAATGATTTATATCTTTATGAACAATGGTAATACAGTATCTATTATTAGGGTTAGTGAAGAACTTATAATCTATTTGATAGTAGCCACAGAAACAAATATTTGTTCAATACTGAAATAGCTGGGAATATGGTTTGACAGAAAATTGAACTTTCGTAAGTATATTACTGAATACACAGGTAAAGCCAGGGAAATAACAAAGTATATACAAGGTTTAACCAAAGTTATGTAAAGCCCCTTAGTATATGCTATATACAAGGCAGTAATTATATATGTATTTCCCTTACTCCTATATAGAACTGAGGCCTGGTATAAAGGTAGATTCAAGGCAATACAAAAACTAAAACCAGGATAAGCAAAGGTTAGTGCCTGTCTTAGCTGACACATGACACAAATCGAAAAGGTCCTCACAATAGCAATACAAGAAATAATACCAACCTGGAAAACCATACCAATAACCGTCCTTTATCATGAAGCAGGTCTCCCCTTAACCATGACAGCCCTCAAAAAAGCCAAACTGAGGTTTGCCCTATACCTCCAAAATATAAACACAACTCACCCGCTTACAAAAAGAATCGAACCCCCTATAATCATCAAAAAACAAGACACAGACACAAAACAAAAAGCGAAGACCAAAGTCCAACAACTAGATCTCCTCGTTCCCCCAATCCCAAGGCCTACACTCGAAACACCATGGTACATACCGGGCTACCGAATAGATCTAATGAAAGGGATTAACAAAAAAACAGCTACAAAAACCTTCAATATCTGATGGGAAAACCTGCCAGACACAGATATTACCATTTTCTCAAATAGATCAGAAAACCATATAAAAAGAAAATATATTATAAACTATAGATACATAATGTATCTAAGCAAGAACCAGATATTGGTAAACTTTAATTTCATCAATACCTAATTCTATGTTTTCGATACAAAAGCCATCGGAGTATAAAAAGACCTGGAATGTATCTTCAAGGATGTCAGGTATACCAATCAGAAAATCTGGATATACATCGACAGTGTTTCGGTTATCTGGGGTATAAGAGTCAATGCCTCTATATCATTACAATAGGTGTTCAACAACTGTTACAAGACTATAAAGGATAACAACATTCGTGTCAAATAGTTATTGGGATATAAAAGCATCAAGGAAAACAAGACAACCAATCACCTTGCTGATTTTAACACCAAGAAACCCAGCTGGGATACTGAACCAGTATCTCAATCCATATATAGTGGAATAAGATCGATTATACACATCCTCAGAGAAGAGGTCTGCCAAGAATAGTAAATATTATATAAACCAGCCTTTTTGCTGTAGTACAAACAATAGGATCTGGTATACAAAGTCAAACCATTGCCAGAGCTCCTATTCCCACAAGTAGTTCTACACAGACTAATAACTATCCGAACCTTACATGGGGACTTTGGCTGGTATCACAGGAAATTCGGGCATTTAGGAGACACAGAATACTCTTGCAAAAAGTCCAAAACCCTTGTCTATCTAATCCACTGCTGGAAGGCAAAAGATACCTTTAATCAATAGCTAAATAAGCCCCCCAAACCATTATCAATAAATAAAGAAGGTATCCAATACCTATATCAAATCTTAAATAATCTCACGGATTTCGCAAAGTTGCTAAAGCTTACAAAGTTCTATAAAGATATATATCCAAAATAGAGGGCTGCAAACCTACATTCTACTTAAAACAAACAATCTAAAAACCCTGTGACAATATATATCCATTACTAGAATCGACTTGCAATGTATAATACAAATGAAACTACTAATTCCCTTTGCAAAGTATATACAGAGAAATAAAACCATTAACAGATATAAAAAACCTGATTGAATATCAATAAGATATACAAAAGCATATCTGAGAACATTTTCTAGAGTATAACAAACAATTCAAATTGCTATATCAAAAGTAGTTTATCAATCTGTTTAGTGTAAACAATGGCAAGTCTACAACAGGGGTATATCCGTTTACATTAGGCAAGACAGTAGAATCACTTCAACTAGCAGAGGAAAGAATACACAAATTGGAAAGTAATATACAATTACTAGGAATGGCCATAAAGGCTTTCACTTTTCTTTCTAAGGCACCCTTATTTCATGTATTATAAGATTATAGCTTAGAACATCTGCATACCCCTAGGGAGGTTCTGAGGGCAGCCACAAGCTGCTCTCCTGATGTAAAATAATACTACTACTACTACTACTACTACTACGACTATACCCAGAAAGGTTGAAGTGCTGGTGAATAAGTCGATTTTTTCACTACTTAGTATGCCAAAATAGCTTCTCGATATCGAAGCTAGCATTGATCAAAGAAAAATACTTGCTTGAGTGAAAACATATGATATCGTATTAACTGATTAGGAAAGTATTATATATCGGTTTATTCATTCAAATATTAGCGTATAGTTTTAATTATAGTCAAGATATTAGGCATTTTTAAAAAGAATATTGAATATATTAAATATATAAATATAAATTATTAGTATGTTTTATAGAATCTAATATAAGAAAAAGTTTAAGATTTATATAATTAGAACTAATCTAAGAATATAATAATATTTATAATTATTTACTGTCTGGATTATAAGATGTTATCTCTTTATTAGTATATGGCTTTTCTTTACGAAATATCAAACTTTTCTATTCCAAAATAAGATCTTCCTAACTGGTTAATGTGATATACAAAATGTTAATATATTGAGGATTAGCAGTTCAGTTCAGCATCCTCTAAACCAGGTGGTTACTTTGGCTGGGTCTGGTCACCGCTAGTCTACTACTTGGTAAACGTCTAATCTATTGCCGGCTGCTATCTGTGTACTGAATAATATATTGGTTATCGGTCATGGGTTTCCAAAGATCCATGATTCAATACTGATCGTTCCACAGAACTTGAAGCAAAACGTATGTGGTAGCGCAAGAGCGATCGATGCCGAACGGACCTTCAAGTTGCTAACTTATTTTATGGGAATAACTATAAGATTGAAAGGTAGATACGCGGTATCTATTTGATGGGATACATTTGACATTAGTATTAGTATGACTTAGAAGTGCAGCGGGTGATAAGAAAAAGGGAAGATTCTGTTTCGAGTTACGGTATCTCTGTCACGGATATTATTGCTATCGGTAAGCGGATGATCCATGCGAAGACGGGCAAGTACAGGTACATTACGGGTAAATCACAATTATCAAATCCATGTAAATCCAGACTTAAAGCTTGTATCGTTACTGTGACTGGAGAATAAGCGATAATTAAAACGTCAAATACGATCAAAAATGTGGGTACCCATCCCCGCCTGCCTATCTTGTCATTTTCCCAAGTACTAACTCGTATTGTTCCTCAGCTCCTCTTCTATCCACTAAGTTAATCCCTCAATCCATAGAATTTCATCACAATAACGCTCCCAGAGTAACTCTACCACCATATCTCAGCCTCAATCAAACAAACTCAAATCAGTTCGACAGTCAAGCGTTTCATTTATTCCATATCAAGAACCTCGGAAGACATGGCTAGCGTGAAGACCTACCTTAATGCCGATGACTTCAAACAAGGTGAGTCCTAATACCACATCGCATAACTGATGTGCTAATATATTGTAGGGTTACAAGAGCTCGACAAGGAGATGGAAAAAAGTAACTTCCTCACTGCATTTGCCCCAATTGAGGTGGTGACTGCTGGAGGCTTCCTTGCAGTTTGGTATCTGAAGAGCCGCGAGTCCACCGGAGATCTCGATTACATTATTCATCCTGAATGGTCTTCGGACGCTGAAATAAAGTCCCCACTGCAGGAAGCTGTGTGGGCGGTCGCGGAGAAGTGTAATTTCAATATGAAGTGGATGAATGATGAGATGGGTTTATTCACGACTTCAGAAACCGACAGGAAGCTTTTTGCACAGGCAAAGAATGAAAACGTGGTTCTTTTTGAAGGGAATAATATAGTGGTGCGCGCAGCCCCCATTGAATGGGCACTGGAAAGGAAGTTACGAAGGATCTTTGTCGGTGGCAGGGACCGAAAGGCGGAACTTGATATGAGCGACGCAATGGCCATGTTGAAGTATCTGAAAGAAGCAAAGGGTCCATTGGACCGAGAGTATATACGGACCCTCAACATGAATGGATTTGACGTGGTGCCAGACAATGCTACGATGAATCGCGTGGCCGCAGAGTATCGGCGGATTTATGGAGAGGAGGCATTTGCCTGAGTGTTAAGTTCTGATGGGCTGGTTGAGAATAAACAAGACGTTAGGAGTAAGCAAGGGGCATGGTTAGTCTTCGTCAAAGAAAAGTGATAGCCATAGCAATTTGTTAAGGTTAAAAGATTGCAAGAAACCAAAGTGTAAACATTAGTTACTTTGAGCACCGTGCAGAATCCAGCATCCGTGTTGAACATCTGGTGTTTTGATCTGCGCTCCACCGATACTGAGGTTGTCAATCCAACAATCAAACTGTGTACCACCAGCCCACATTCGTGACGATATTCCGTTTTGCAAAACCTTCATCGCACCCACGTTCTTCGAGAATCAACTTCCCACTTTCGCTCACCATGTCGGATGGCAAGTCTTGTAGCATAAATGGCTCGATGGGTGGCACTGATCGAGTCCAATCGGGTCCGACAACAGGAGTATACGGAGGCCATGGATCGCCATTTTTTTGCCGTCGTATGTTCTCCCCGTTTCGGCGCATTCCCAAAGCCAACCTCCAGTTGAAAGAATTGACCAACTCTTCTACTATACACGCAACAATTGCGTAACGGACCGGATCGGGATCCTTTGGATCTGGTATTGAACTCAAAGTCCAATTCTTCTCGTAATGACGCCAGCAATATTCCGTTTCGCTGCCCAACGGAGCGTAGTCCCCCATCATTAAGATCTCATACATGCGGTAAACACATCGGATTGGAGTATCACGGAGTGCCCAGAGTTCCACGTTGCGAAGGGTGGAATGGTTTGCACTGCGAGCATAGTATAAATTCTCGTTTTGTGCGATCTGGGAAGGGGGCACGCGAGAGGGTAGCGGAAAATACCACGACGGGAATGGCACGAACATACGAAGAAGCGCTAAGTATGGATGCTTATAAATATGTCGAAGGCGGACGATACTTCCACGAAGTCGAAGGGGGGTTCCGAACCAGTTTTTGAACCAATACCATCGCATCCGCCAAGTAATCTTAGGTCGAGGACGACGAGGTCGATCTGGTGGATCCATCGTAAGGATAAGTTGATGAAAGTTTAAAGTCTTTCCGACAACAATTGCTGGGATGAATAGAGTTTATAATGAATGTGACCAGGTATGGCATACCAATAAAAGCTGAGTCATGTAAAGATGAGTATAATGCCTTGATAATGAGGCATCAAACACGTGGCAATCTACCAGGCGATCAACAACTGCCATACTGGCTGTTTGTAACCCCCGATGAAAGAGTTCTGGTTTGTGTTGATACAACATAGTATGATAGATGTATGCATAACTAGCATATAGCTTACACATGGGCAGGATTTCTCAGTAACTTAGATAATTTGGTATGTGTCCATAATATACCCCTTCTGCTTCACATGCAGAGCCATATAAATGCTACTCGCCCAAAAGAATTTCACAAAATTTGTGCCCGCCCTATCAGTTTTCGTGAGCAGCATAATTTTCCTATGTTCCAGGCTCTCCTGAGTTGATCATCTAAAATGCCACCCGCACGATTGCTATTGTACACACCAACTTTGCCCCTCTCCCATACCTAAGCCAAACTCTACGGAAGGCTTTTCCTCCCTTCCGAAAAACATTGTATATCCCATAAACTCCATTTCTTTCCCTGCTCCAGCAGTACAAGAAGTTACCCAAACACCACCGTTTAACCGAATATGTACCACTGTTCAAGCTTGAGTATGCAATACGCACAATGAAGAGTCCTTTATTGAGTAAATAATAGTCTCTCATGCCATGGAAATTTGGAGACTATTGCAGAAAACATTGAGGTTTTCACACAATCCACGCGCAATTAGAATCATTGTTGCTCTAACCCCCTTTCTTCATGCTTCTCCTCCGCGCTAACTCCAGCCTCGGGTTTGGCAAGAACCGTCTCGGAGTCGATTTCTGAATCAGAATCATGATCTTTCGTTGCATGATCTTTGTCAACTTGAACCGATCCTTGGCCATCTTCCGACAGTGCTTTCCCCTCATGTGAAGGTTCAGGGTCATCCTGGGCGGCTTCAAAACTAGTGTCTTCTCTCTTTGCTCGCTTTGCTAGTGGTGCCTCTTCTATCTGCTCATCTGCCTTGCGTTTTGGACTAGATTTGGTGTCGGAATCGATATTTGACAAGACATCGTTTGCAGATCTGATTTGATGGTGGCTTGAAAGATCATTAGCGGCCGCCTTTAGAGGAGCATCATCCGTCCCGGAGACCATGCTATCGTCGGGCTTATCTTCTGATAATGAAGTGGGCGAAGGCCGAGTATCATCACTTGTTGAAGAAGTGCGTGGTTTACTCTCTGACTGACTATTCTCGGCCTTTTCGCTGGGCTGGTCGTTATGGAGTTCAGGATCTGGTTGAGAGTTGCTATCCGATCCATTTGTTCCATTTTCATGAACATGGCCATTTCCATTTTGGCTCTGAGTCTGCTCCGAGTTTGCGGCAGCGTCATCACTACTGTGTTCCTCTTTCCCACTAGAAGCATGAAGATATTTGGCAGCCGCACTTCCTGGCTGGTCTTGATCTGTGAACTGAAAGGGGCTGTTGCTTAGAAATTTATGCAAAAACAGCCCAGCTTCCACAATCCTAGGTTCACTACCACCGAGATGCTCCCACCAATCTTTGCCATTTATCTGAGGGATTTCGCATTTCTTAGCAGTGGCGGCCAACAGAAGAGTTGTGATGGCAATAATCCGGGGAGTTGTCATGAGACCTAATATCGAATGATGTGTATCGCAGATTAATGCCCAGGTATAATTCCGGAGTTCTTTGATTATTACAGAGTCGATGCCGACAGCTGTTAGTTCCTCAAAGAAATTCACGAGATATTTCAGCGGAGATGGCGCAGAAAGGTCGAAACATAATAACTCCAGCATGAGTTCCTCATACATAAGAATACTATCACGCCATCGCCAGTATTCTTTAGAGCTAGCATCTACTTCGAGCTTCGGGTTCTTCTGAGCAACCTTAATACAGGCAAAAATGAAGGGCTTGGTTCCGCGTATGGTCTCTTCGGTTTTAGTTGCCAGGAAAAGGGCTGTCGCAGCAATCTCCTGATAGAAACTGTTCAGCATTCATTACTCTGACAAACGGATAACAAAAATCAAATGCATAGCCACGTAATTCGACTTGGGGAAAAGTAAATTCCACGACGAAAATATGAGGTAAAGAATTAATAATTTTTTCGAAATTGGCCAATAGAGAAAGAACCTACATAGTGATGGATTCCGGTGCAGCCCTTTTTGTCTGCGACCATGCTTTTGCGCATATAGAAACGGTGAAAGTAAAGACTCGCAACGCTCACAGTCGTCATGGGAACATGTAGCATGTTTCCAATTGATGACATGAAAGAAACTCCTTTCGCTCTGCGAGTACGTTCCTCCTCGGGTGAAAGGCCTTCTAAAATGGAAGGGGTAGCCTTAAGCTCCGCCTCGGTGAAAAGCCATTGATCAAACGCCTTGGCGGGCATTTCTGGTATAAATACGTGCTTTGCCTGATGCAACAATTGTTTGGGGGTTAAGTAATGATTCGACAATCGCGGGGGTGATGGAACCGCTGGTGGTATGTATTTTTCGGTTATAGTTGAGGCGCAAGATAATGCTGGTCGAGTGTGGTTTGAATGATCATCTAAGAATTCGAAATCGGGGGTTAGGATATGGACCTGCAGTGGTCATAGAACTGAAGAAATGCGATAGAATTCGATTTGTGAAGACGGGGCTTTCATTCGACGTAGAATTCCTTATCGTCTATCGAGAGGTGGTCGAGCTGAACGGATATGCATGTAGCTGTGCTATAAAGGTATGGTCAATTCCAATGGCGCTATTGTTAATTTTCATTATTGATGGGATTCACGTCGTGAGATAAAAGCAATCGAGACAATTGAAATTCCAAATCGCGATAGAGCTCGGTGGAGCTAGCCGTATCTTAGCGCTAAATATGTCATACACGTGACTATGTGTCTATTTCCCATATTTTGACGCGTTTCTATCGGATATTCAAAGTGAATCCACATCCCACCGCCGCATCTCTTCCTACTGTTTCCTCCTCGCAGGATTAGTTCTTCTCTTTGACTTTCACTAAAACCAAATTATCGTCTGGCAGTCTCGGATATACTGTATTGTATTGTATTGTCGTACCAGATTCAGATTCAATCTTTTGCTGAAATCACACTACTCATATACCGAATGACTGGGTGCATTCCGTAAGTATAACCATGGCACTCTGGATCAACATTCTTCAGCACATCGACGGTCATGTCGCCACGTCACTTCCATGCCGATCATCTGAGTAAAGTGTGCCTACCATCCAGCCCAGACGAAATGATACTGGAAAATGAGATACCGGTATAACCTTATACCGACAACTGAGGTCCAAGTTAATGGTCGTTAGCACAGCACAGGTTTTGTGTAAGCTTCTGACGCTGAATCATAGATTAGCCATATTTGCAGTACGAATCTTTGTAGATTCCTACTGTAGGGATGGATTTTAACAGCCGCAGTGGAAGTCCCGCGGCGTGAGACATTGTTTCTAGAAACCATTTCTATTTACGCATTCCAATCGCGCCAAGCCTAGAAGATATGGCTTGCGTGCTAGACTGCTAGTTATAATCAAGGATTCCTCATACATATATTGTTGTCATATAGAATTTATAGTAAGTGTTCTCAGCATCAACAGTATGCGTCATCTATCAAATCTGTTCATAGCTTTCCTAGGCATCACTTCAATCACTGCTTCCCAATCATCCAATGCCACCAATGTCTGCATAGATGCACTCCTGTCAGAGCCCGGTAACGCCAAGGACTTTTGTATACAATATCTACTGTTGAGCACTATCCCTGTCCCTTCATTCGCCTCGCCATGTTTGGGTACCAATCCGTCTGAAAATCAGCTATTCAGATCTTGTTACGAGGTGCTTACTCAGTTGAAGAAAGAGGTCCCACTACCTACAGCTTTGCATTTCGACGCAATTGATAAGCCTTCCAAGCGTGCGGAATCGTTACATCGTGATGGAGGCTTCTTCAATACGGGAAGTGTTTCATCAGTATCGACCAGCGTTGGCACATATGATAGCATTGGGTGTTTTGAGGATGGCGTTCGAGGCAAACCTATGGGTTCCCCCCTGCTTAACCTGACTGAAGGCCCTGCGGAGACAATTCAAAGTTGTGTGAATGCTTGCTCTACTATGGGACGAAATGGACTACCGTACCTCTATGCCGGTATAGAGCCTGGATCTTGCTGGTGCTCGAATTACATTTCGATACTCTCCATTAGAAGCGCTTCATTTTGTCAATCAAGCTGCCCGTCGAATTCCGGCAGATACTGTGGGGGTTTCGTAGGCTCGATACCTCACATGCAGATATACGAACTGAAGGATTGGTCTGGAAACGTCAGTCCTACGTCGACGACATCTGGAAGGACAGCATCTAGTTCTTCGTTGAGGTCTTCCACTGAGTCATCCAGCTTAAAGTCCCAGTCGCGGACATTGATGTCTTCATCCAGCCTTTCGACTTTATCTTCGAAAACAACGAGCACTCAAAAATCATCTTCCAGCTCGATTCGCTCCCCGGATATCTCGGTAATTTCAACTACAAGCACCGCTAGAAACTCGAGCTCTTCACTGTCGAGTACTCCTCAAAATACTTTCACGACCGTATCTCCGACCGAAGTAAAAATCAGCTCGAGCAGTTCAATTGCATCTAGTCTGTTATCGAGTAGCCCAAGTAGCTTTTCCCCGTCTTTCACTTCTGTCGTAATTGCATCATCTCCGAGCCTAAATTCGGTATCTTCCAGTTCAAGTCTATCAACCTCCCAAGTGCTAGCACCCAGCTCAAGCAGCATCAACAGTCTCTCCTCTCCTCCGCCCTACATTTCCGAGTCTGTAGCCAGTACATTAACAACTTTTGAACTTCTCATAACAAGCGAAATATCATCCACCTCTCTCCCTCCAATTGCCGGACCGTCACCCACAACAAATACATTTGGCCTAACCCCCGATTCCCCAAGTATTCCACCTATTGTTGGTCCCACTGGCACCGAACCCTACACACAATTCTCCGGTACTTTCGCTTCCCCAGGTGAAGTATCTACCACAGATAAGCCTAATCCGTGGGCGTCTCTATCTCTTGAAGAGCCAAATTATTATACACAAATACCTAGCGACGCAATTGCAGGCTATGTAGAACCAACAACAACTGTTTCAACTGTATCGAGCGAGACTCTTTTCTCTAATTTTCCTCCACCTTTTCCACCCAGGAAAGTCAAACGCGAATACAACATCAACGCCCCTGATAGCCCCTGGAAGAGCCTCCTTCCCCTAACTTCCCCAGAAATCGTCAAAGAAGTTCCCCTTGAACAAGTCCCCGGCTGGGAACAACAACTCATATCTCTGCCTTCCTCAAGATCTAAACGTGGATACGATATCAACGCTCCTGATAGTCCCTGGCCCCCCCTCCTCCCGCTTTCCCGCCCAGAAATCATCAAAGAAGTCCCACTGGACCAAGTATCCGGATGGCAAGGCCAACCATCTGCTCCTCTCATCCCCGACTCCGATGTCCCTCCAAGACCCAAACCCAAAAACAGACTTCACCGCCGCCAATTCGGACCCATCCCCGATGACGCTCTCGAACCACCCGGCCGTCCGGATTTCATTAAAAAGTTCCCAGAGAAAAATAATAATAAACCAGTTCTCCCACCCTTTGATAGGATAAAAGAACCCGTTGATCCGAAAACGGGAAAGAAAATAACGAAGTCAAAACCGAAGTATAGTCACTCTAAGATTAGTTTGAAGAAACGGCCGAGTTTAAAGGATTTGAAGCTACAACAAAATGGGCGCCCAATCGATCAATCAGACGGAACTACAAACGAAGTTTCAAAGAAAGAAAAAGATCCCAAACATGATCATAAACTCCATCTTCAAGGCACCCCAAAGGCATACACGGAAATGGTAGAGAAAATGGCGAGAATAGAAAAGGGGAGGGTGAAGAATAAGGTCGAGGATTGGCAGAAGAAGATTTTCCAGGGCTTTGGGAGGGGTTGGGATGAGAATGAACCGTTCTTGAGAGAAGCTGTTATTATTAACAAAATATTGTTGAATGAGGAAGAGGATGGGGATAAAGAAGATGATGACGAAATCGGATTTGGAGAAAATGAAGTAGAGGGAAGAAGAGTGGAAGGAAGATACAGTTGACGAGAATTTGAAGATTTCAATACTGTTAGTTTCGCTTTAGATGGATGCAACCCGTGGATGAAGAAGGGAGGGAGACAGTGATGCGGGAGTTGGCGGTCTTGTCACGTAAGGTGTTGGTGGTTGGAAGTTCTTTATGGTTGGTTATATGATTTGTGTATCGATTTTGAATATTGCATTTAGATTTAGGTTATGCTATTGTTATCCATTCCATGCATCAAGATATACTCCTCTCGCTCTCAACGAGTGGACTTATTGGATTAGGACTACTCGAGTATAATGCTGTGCATTGTGTCACGAGTATTGATATAACTTCATATGCATGCATCTACATGCCAATCGCAGTCCTTTATTTGAGTAGCCTGTTTGAAGAGAATGAAAATAAAAAGTCAAGTGATCAAAGTCCCGCGATGGATACCAGAGCTGGGAAATGGGAAGTCAGATAGTAGTAAGGGATGGTGTTGATACTTGGCATCCATTCATTCATCCATCCATCCATCCATCCATATTTCTATCTACTCCGTATGGCCCCTTCCATTCCCTGCTCTGCCCTATTCCATAAATCAATTTCAAATTTCAATCTTGAATCTTCAATCTTCAAACTTCAATACATAAATCCAAATTCTGATTCATATTAATATTCCCTCCTTTCCTTTCCTTCCCCTTCCTTTCCTTTCCCTTCCTTTCCTTTCCCTTCCTTTCC